AAATAATCACAATTAATCTAAAAACTTTTTGTCTGGTTGTGTTTTTTTTAAAGCAATACACATAGTTTTAGCAAGGCAGATGGCCTCCTTAGATATAAGTGATAAGGAAAGTTATAAATTCTCCTACTGTCAGAACCACACAGCACTAAAATGCATAAAGGCAAAGACATAAACCCCAAACATAGGCTATAGAATATTAAAGCCTTTTATGTGACTTGGAATTTGTCTTAGTAATCAATATTTTTTTAAGTCCTAACAATCTCTCTATTTACTTGGAATGGTTGAAAGCCAAAGTTACCAGCCATACTTGTTGAATAGTTGACTTTGTTGTGCCCATCTGTACAGTATTAACATCTTACCCTATCCGAATTATACCACTGCACAAAAGGCACCTGCTAAGACTACTCAACCTAAGTCAGCCTCTTAAGCAGGACTCTGTATCAGCCTTGGAACTGCACCTTCTCCTCCCAGTCACAGTCATTACCCAGTACTTACCTGATACTACAAAGGAAAAGATCAAAGTATTAACACTACAAGTTTTAGTCAATATTTTCATTTTAAATAAAACTATGACTATTTTTCCCCTGTCTTCCTGAAAGCAAGTGTGTGGGAGCTGGTGAGAACCACTAGACTTGCAAAGTTCCTATGCTTGACATACTTAACAAAAAAACACAAATTTCTCATTAGATAATCTTCCATGTACTGTCACTGTAAAGATGCAGGCTCTGTTCTTTCAATTCTATTTTGCTGTCCTAGACTTTTGGTGAGAAGACATCAACATTTTATCAGAAGAGGGTATGGACAAGAGAACAGTGCTATTTGAATGAATGAATGCATCACTGAAGTATTAACTGAAGAAATTCTGAATTCCAGACAGCCCAAATTAAAAGTGGAATTAAGAGTGGGAACAAAGTTAAGATAAAAGCAGTTTTGTATTTTCATTCAATTTTAGGAAGTCAAATGTCCTTTAAAAAAAACAAACCACACACACTAACTTAGATTCAAATAGCTAAGGGGAATTCCAGGCTTCCACAGAATCACAATCATGAGGCAAAAAATTGGCTTGGTAATTGTCTTCTCCTAAGGAAATATCTTAATAACAAATATTCATCTTAATATTGCTAGTCACAGTTGCAGCTATCTTGCTTCACAGTTCTCAAAACAAAGATAACACGTTTACATAAAGTGACCCAGTAAGAAAAATCTGTAAGTCCCCAAATAAGATCTATGAATATAACAAAGAAAAACACAAACACAGCTTTTAGATACAACTGAATGCTGGAATTGTATAACGTACCAAAGACTTCATGTGCCAGAAATATACAAATCACCAATGCTGAGCACAGGTGATTATTATTGCTAAACAATCTAGAGGGGAAAGGACAGAGAGACCACAGCTGAGGTGATCCAGTGATCACTTCCTTTCTCAGTTCACACATTTCTTTGTGGTTTGGCAGAGTTCTGCCTGGACTGGAATTTGCTTTTTCAACTTCTTCGGTTTCAATGAAGTTTTCTCTTCATAGCTTAATACAAGTAAAAAACATCCTCCAGATGTTCCTGAAGCTTACGTTTCTAGGAATCAAATCTTAGAATCATAGGATAATTCAGGCTGGAAGGGATCTCGAGAGGTCTCTAGTCCAACCTCCTCTCAAAGAAGGGCCAGGTGTGAGGTCAGACCATGTTTTCAGGCTGTGATCCAGTTGGGTCTTGAAAACCTCCAAGGATGGAGATTGCACAACCTCTCCGAGTGACCTGGTCCAATACTTGACTGTCCTCATGGTAAGCACATTCCTGATATTCAGGTAGAACACCTCTTGACTCAGTGTATGTCATTGCCCCCTGTCCTCCTGCCATGCACCACTGTGAAGAGCCTGGATATGTCATCTTGATGAACTCCCGATAGGTATGGAAGGCTGCTATTCAGGTTCCCTGAAGTCTTCTCCAGGCTGAACAAACCCAGCGCTCTCAACCTCTCCTCCCACTGCAAGCGCTCTAGCTCACTCACCATCTGGCAGAGTTCTGCCTGGACTGGAATTTGCTTTTTCAACTTCTTCGGTTTCAATGAAGTTTTCTCTTCATAGCTTAATACAAGTAAAAAACATCCTCCAGATGTTCCTGAAGCTTACGTTTCTAGGAATCAAATCTTAGAATCATAGGATAATTCAGGCTGGAAGGGATCTCGAGAGGTCTCTAGTCCAACCTCCTCTCAAAGAAGGGCCAGGTGTGAGGTCAGACCATGTTTTCAGGCTGTGATCCAGTTGGGTCTTGAAAACCTCCAAGGATGGAGATTGCACAACCTCTCCGAGTGACCTGGTCCAATACTTGACTGTCCTCATGGTAAGCACATTCCTGATATTCAGGTAGAACACCTCTTGACTCAGTGTATGTCATTGCCCCCTGTCCTCCTGCCATGCACCACTGTGAAGAGCCTGGATATGTCATCTTGATGAACTCCCGATAGGTATGGAAGGCTGCTATTCAGGTTCCCTGAAGTCTTCTCCAGGCTGAACAAACCCAGCGCTCTCAACCTCTCCTCCCACTGCAAGCGCTCTAGCTCACTCACCATCTTGGTGGCCCTCCACTGAACTTGTTCCAGTTTACTGATGTCTTGGAGCCGAGAACAGATTTTTTTTCTTCTGCAGTCAACTGTCTTGGTAACTAATAGGGAGCATTCTATACCACAGTCAATGGATAACGCTGCTTTCATTCATTTCAAAAGTTATTTAACCAAATAAACATTTAATGCAAGATTGTTAACAATTGCATGAGCAATAAAGCTACTTGAATGGATAGTTGTCTGTCAGTAGTTAATAACACAAGTCAGTATCTCCCATTTCAGCAAGATGCAAGTGAACTATGAAATATATTAAAGCTTTTAATTGCAGTTGATATATAACAGTCACATGGAAAACATCCTTTGCCACACAAACTTTTGAATAAAACAAAATAGAGGCATGTTTTACCATCCCACAAGCCAGCCAATCTCCCACACTAGGACTGTTACAGCTTTCGAGCAATTCATTCTCCTCAAGACCATGTCAGAAGATTGATATAAGAATTAAAAGAGCATTGTAAGTGATCAATAGCACTATTCTACTAGCCATGAACTTCAAAAACAGTTGTCTTAGTTAATTTTCAGATCCATTACATGGAAAGAAAACGCTTTTTAAATATGCCTGGTAACTTGCTCCATACACACCTTTCATACATTTTATACTGCTCCTTGCCATTTAACATACATTCCCTGACTGAAAAAAAAATATTCATATATATTCTTGGTCTTCTGGCATAGAACAGCTAGCCAAGAAGTAGAAAACGCTTCATGGAGGTCTCTAGGTCTATATTTCTAGAATGGTGATTTGCTTGGAATACAGAATAGCTGTTAAGTTCTCTCAATGCTGCAGAGAACCAAACAATTAGAACGGAAGGACAGAATATTTGGCAATACAAAAATCTAAGACTTCTGAGAATAAAGGGCACCTCTTAAATATAACAAAAAATGGTTGGAAAAAAAACTTTAAAAAGAATATTCAGGGAGATTTAATAACTTCAGAATATATGGGTTGTAAAAGCAATTATTAAAACAATTTTTTTGCTCACTAAAAACAATTTATGAAGATTTTGCACCTACAAGTGCATACAACAAACCTAAAAACACAACTAAGTGAAACTCCCACACAGAATCAGTTGGTTTAAAGAACAAAATGTATACTAAATTCTCCAATTAAAAACCTGTAAAGTAGTTTCCGTGCTTTTTAACCCACCTTCCCACAGCAGGGAATTAATCCCTCCAGGGGGATGCAAACAAACTTCAAAGAGAAGATTATATCCCAGACACTAGTACTGTACAATGTAATGTTTATGGTCAAATTTGTTCAGATTTTCTGGCACTAGAATCCAGGTCAGATGTGCAGAAACAAAGACTAGTTATTAAATGGGCTCCTGCAGTTACATCAAATAGTCATGATGGCATATAGCAGTAGGACAAGCCAAAACTGTACTCCAGTTACAACTCCTATGGAGACTTTGCAGTAAAGGAAAGAGTTGCAGCTATTTGACTTCTGCTGATTGTAACAAATACAGATACAAAAGGAGATAAGTGACTTTCTCATCAATAAAACAAAAAAATCCTTTCTATTGGTTCATTATATATAATACACACATGATCATTTCATAATAGAGAAAAGGAATATTACTTCAGTATATGTTCACTAATGATAAATCATTTAACTTTGACATCCCTCCTTTTCATAACATTCTAGAGACTGATCTCACAAAACAGTATCTCGAACTAAATTCTGGGATTATGAATTTCAACCTTTGCTTTTCCTGCTTATTTGGTCAAGTTCCTCAGGTTCAGAAAAAAGTGCAATCAAAAATTCACAAATATACTTACCTGTTGGTTTCAGCAGTTATAGGACTTCTCTAGCATAAACATAGGAATATTTGTCAGAAATAACATTATAGAAAAATACTTAATTATGGCTTGATAACTATGTTTGGTAAAAGTAGGTAATCAAATCATAAGCTGCTTTCCAGCCTTATTTCTACATAAAATCATTTGAGCAAAGGAAGAATTCTGAGAACAGATAAAAATATTTCTGTAAACAAGTAAGAAAGAAGAAGTAAAAATGAATTCCACACAAGAAGTTTTAGGGTATTTTTTTGTCTTAGAACTACCCATTCCTTATACGAGCAGCAAATATGAATCTGAAAATACATTCACTTTTTCAATCTAATGAAATAAGAGTGTTTTCTATTTTAAAAGACAAAGAATGCAAAACAGTCAAAGAAATCAGAAAATTGCCCACAACGAGGGACAGAGGCAAGAATTTCTCATTTTTAGTCCTAACTGTAAAAGACTCTGCAGAACCAGTGATTAAGATACCTCTAAAAGCCAGAACAGCATAATATTAAACATACTTCATTATGTCACAATACATAGTTCTTAAAAATAATTTTAGCCAATAAACAGGTAGAATTGGAGTACAAAACAGTACCTTTCCCAATGCAACCGATTCCTGAATAGGTTACTTCTGCATACACTTCAAAGGTAGTTTCCGGATTTTGTCTGAAAGAAAAAAAACAGTATTTAGCACATTGAGATTTTTTTTTCAAGTGTGCTTTCAATTACTCAGTCAAAAAGGGTTCTAAGAATGTATACGTTACAATGACAACATAATAAACTAGATTTCTTGTTTTATAGTCTGTGATGATTTCACATCAGATCCTTCCGCCTTACTAGTATGTAACAAAATACGACTGAAGCTCAGATGAGTCAGTATGAGCTGGATGTCTAACAATTTCTACAGAGGAAAAAAGAATCAAAACAATAGAAATCAAGCACACAGAACCTTTAAGTCAATTCAATTGTTGTGACTAGTCTGCATCTCTAGGTACTAAAATATCACAGGCCTATCATTCAGAACTTTGCCAGAAAAAGAAACCCATGTATCACTTTTCAGAATGCTATTCAGATAGAGAAACAACAGTTATGTCAGGTCTTGGCCACAATAGCAATTTTGATTACATAAGCAACATGCAAAGCAAGTTCTTTTTATTTTACCTTTACTTTCAAATGAGAAAGTAAATCACCTATGTGCTCAACACAGGGATTTGGGGGGGGGGGGGGCGGGGGGGGGGGGGGGGGCGGGGGGAACACCTGAATTTTCACCAAACTGAAAACAGCCACATTGTCCACATGGGACAAACAACACAGATTCACATTTTCATTATTGTGACCCTTGAGTTCAACTTCAGGATACTATTTGCTCAGGGGGGCGGGGAGGCAGAAAGAAGCTGCAGTCAAGAGGATGCAAAGTCATTTTATGCATACATTACTGGAAAACTTAAGAGGCTGTATTTAGGATGAAGACATTTCCCCTCCTTACTACCTGTCAAAATATTTCAATCTCTGTCAAAAAAAAAGCCACCCTGAAGAATATTACAAATGCACAAGGCTTCACCTCATGAGACTCCAGAGTTTTAAATCCAAAAAGCTGCCAGATGCACGCAAAGTAAGGGAATAGGTGGGACAGTCAAAACTTATACCAAATTCAGCTACAAAATGTAAATGAAGCTTCAGGAAAGAGACTTACTCTGCTCCAGAGTTATAAATACACCAGTAATAAAAGTAAAAAGTTAATGTCATAAAACTAAAGAAAGTGTACATTTTGAGTTCTTACTAACATAACTCCCTAAGCGAAGCTCTGGAATTACATTTCATAAGGAGCATGTAAAGGCAGCAGGTGATTATATAAGAAAGCATATTTTGAGTTCAATTCCTGACTCACAATTTTAGCTACTCCAAAATTTTTTATGAGATTAAAGAAAAATCACATATTAGACTGTAATTGTTTAGTTATTGAAATAAGGATTTTGTAAGTCTGAACATGTGACAATTTATTCTTAGATTTTCTCATTAAAACCAAGAATCAAAACTGCGTAAGTACTGCTCTAAATTTATGGCTGCTTATATAGTGACAATATTGTCTCCTATGTGTTAATGTAAACTATCTAACATTAGAAAATTGTTGAGGTGTAATTAACTTGTGACTTTTGTTAGCACCCTACAGCTAAGGATGAAAATAATGACAAAAACCATATATATTTATAGATATATATATTTATTTTTACATATATATATGCTAGAATACCTGCCTGAATAATAATTTTAAAAATTAAACTCATCTTACGCAGCATCTCAAACCAAACACATAAACATGTCAAGATCAGCCTACTCTTCAGAGAATTTCTATTATTTTTAATCTTACTTTAACACCAAAAGGGATTAAAAAAAACATTTCTAACCATGCCACCGGCCCATTTAGTGTAACTCAAGTGGCTCTAAGCCAAACCCCACACCTATTTAAATCGACAGAAAATCTACCGTTGGTTTCAGTAGCATAGGATCACACTCTACAGTTTTACAGAGCACCTCTCAGGAGTAACAATTCGGTTCACAATTCAATTAATTTAATTTGCCACCAGTTCCAAACTGATGTCTTAAGTAGCCATTTTTCAGAAAACTACATAAGTTATGAGAAATCCAAAATCAACAAATCAACTATCATTCTGCAGTATAAAACAAACTTGCATAATTCTCTCTGTGCTACTTTAGAGTCGCTGCGTATAATCTGCTTCAAATATTGAGATTCTTAGCTACATTCCTACAATCATGGTACAAGATGAGGATGAAATGATATCCACATAACACTAGAAATGTATTTTTCCTTTCATATATATTGCTGTGCAGCCTTATCTTACCCTCCTTTTTTATGTCTTTATTTTTAGCACCCTGTTTCCTTAATTAAAAGTTTATAAATTTTGTAATATTTTTATAGCTAATGGCTAAAATAACAACACCATTTTAGTATTATGTTAGAGTCTGTGTTCAAATCCTGTAGTGAAAACACTCTATAACACAGCTGGCAAGAGCACATACTATATACCAAAACTTTCAGACAAAGAGACATTAAATTTTGTATTTTAATATTGCATGACAAACGTCCACTTATTTCTATGAACAGTGAAATTAAAGTAGCTTTGCCAAGTCAGAAACTTAGTATTAAAGGCTGCATTCAACAAGCTAACACCTCAGTATGAGAATGAAGTCATTGTTGAACTCTGAATTTTTTTATAACTTTTCAGTGGAATTAAGGAAACAAGTCACTCTAAGACTTCATACAGTTTGCAAATATAGCACAAACATGCATCATAATATGTATATTTTGCAGTCCATTTTTATGACTATTGAACTACCCTGCAGATATCTAATGCCACCTGCATGTCATATTGAAACCTCAACACACTGAAATCATCCACAGCATTATAAAATTAAACACACACACACAAAGGTTTTTCTTCCTCCTAATAGCTTCCAAATAATCACTTAAAGACCTGTGGTCATTTATTAAGTGAGCATACAGATGCAATAAAAAAATGCATAGGGCATGTATGTACAAGAATACATAGTACCCCATTTATTTGGTAACTGGATAATTTCAGAAGGAAATGCAGTGCCTTGTTGTAAATAGAAATTTAGGAAGGAGCTCTACGAGAAAGGAATGCTTTTGTGGTAAATGCTAGTTGTATGAATTACTTCAAATCTCTCTGATGTAGAAAATAGCTTTAGTATCAAAGTAATCCATAAGAAATTCAATTTTACACTGAAGTAATATTTTAAATAAGATATTTATGTACCTTTTACAATCAAAATTATTTGTTTTTACCAAATTGCAAGAGATTCGTGCGGACTAAAATTAAATAAAGTCCTTCTCCAAAACTGTATGTAAGAAAGTACATACCATACATATTTAAAGCCACCATTTAAATTCTGTTCAGGAGCATTTTTCTTCCTACACATAGGAAAATGTAATAGCACTTATGACAGGAAGTATTATTCTATTTAAAAATTGAAGCATTAGAGAGGTGCCTGACACTGTTTGATAGTTAGCTGTCTTTTAACAAGACTTAGTTGCTCAACTCTTGCAGAAAAAGTTATTGGCAGAAATCTGTAATTGCTAATTCAATTCAGAAATTGCACCTTAAATCCCAATTAACTTCCATACATTTAAGTTTTTCTGCCTGATATTCCCTAGGTAGATAATATTACATTTCAGTTTATAGCAAACTTTATGTCAAACATCTGAAAGCATTCCCAGATTAATATTAACTATCCCTTCTGTCATCACTGAAATACAACCACCTCTGGAAAGGAACATGCCAAGTTTTTTTACAGTGCAATGCAATTCTGTTGAACAGACTGATACTGACACATTATTTAAAAAAAATAAAAAATCTTTTCTCTTTTGTAATGTCTTGAGGACCGAAGGCTACCAAGAAGCGATAGCAGCCAGGTTAACCAGATTCCTATTTTACATTACCTTGCTGGCACAGAGTGCCTTGCATGTATAGTACAACATGCTCTAACACAGAGCTTAACCCAACACTGTAACCCAATACTCAATTTACCTTTTTTTCCGCCTGCAGCTATACAAAAGCCAAAAGATTACAGGATTGCTGGCAACTTCTTGATTTCTTTCACTTCAGTCTGATGCAGCTACTGATAATTTCCTCTGAGCAATCTTTCACTCAAATGACTCATTACTATACATCCATCAAAAATGTAACTGACACATATGTCCAGGTTTCATGCAGAGTATACCACAGCATGTGCAAGTGATCATGTGCCAAGGAGTTTAGTATCCCTCATAATTATCAATCTATTGCAAAAGCCAAGAGATATGACTACTGGATTTTTGCTAGGGCTCCAACGCATATTGGCAACATCACTAAAGGAGGCATGCCTCAGTATACCCAATTATAAAATAGTTTTCTCATTCACGCTCCCACCTGCCCCAATAAGGGAGCTACTTATTAACTTGAAAGTCCTTGCTGGATTAAACATCCAGCTCAGAAGAGCAGACCAGAAAAGCACTCTTACTCCGATGGGCTTTCTCATTCTTTATATATTTCAAGATTGTTTTGAAATTTTGTCCTTACTCTGCATATACACAATGTTCTGTCCAAAGTGGAAAAAAGCAATTTATTAATTGTTAATTAATTGCTCAAGACAAAGTTGCTTAATCACACAACAGACAAAATGCTTTCTCACAAAGTCCAAGAGGAATGAAAAGTAATGCTTATATGGGGCTATCATCTGTGTTTTCCTAGTGACAGAGAAAGACGTGCGCTTTGTCTGTAATCTTGAAAGACAGTTCACGCTGAAACACTGAAGCACAGAAAAAGTCCTAAAGTCCACTGGCTGTAATAAATACTTCTAACTGCTACATCTCCTCACCCAGGGAGGTTTCCAGTTGAAGCTCTCATCTGAGTGATTACATTCACATTCAGCAAAGTATGTGCAAAGCCATTAAAAGTCAAATTAGCAATCAAAAACCCAAAGACAGTAAACACAGCTTGTGGATTCTGTATGTGCACAAAAGAAACTACATTTTAAGTGAGCATCAGCCTTTTAAGAGATTCAAGATAAGGTCATTATAAGAAGTCATTTCAGATCATAATCTTGAAGTGACCCAAGCAAGGGTGACCACTGCAAGATCCGAAGATGCAAG